GGCTCCGGGTCCCCGGTGTCAGTGCCGCCGGGAGAAGCGGCCCGTGAACGATAGAGGTGCAAGCAGCCCGCAGCTGGCGGGTCGGGCCGCGGGCTCCGCGCGGGCCAGTCCTCTCCTCGAACGCTGCCCGGAGCTGCTTTGCAGGGGGCGGGAGCTCTGCTCTGCCGCCCGTCAGCTGCTGAAACCGTGGCCAAGCCAAGCCAACAGTGCTTCACGGGGACTCGCAGTAACAGCCGCGTCTCTTCTGCTGCTTAATCCCCGTCGTACTGGGCGCAGACATCGCGTTCTGTAACCACAGTTGAGATGACAGGCGAGGGCGCTCCGTGTTTTCCACAACCGGCCCTGAGCCACTAACGAGTCTTCACAAACACATCAGTCTCTGCGCACAACCTGTTTGCACTCTGCCTGGAAGACCAAAGCCTCCCCAGCAAGGGTAACTGCAGCAGCACTTCATTGTGCTAGAGACAGGAGTTGATGGAGGCGTTTTCAAATGTCCGTTAATCTCCTTTTATTTACTGAAATTTACTTGGCTTGTTTTCTAATTAAGTCAAATGCTGAAGTGTATAGAATTGTGATTAAAAACCATGCTGAAAGGGTTATAAATATAACCCATAGAGGCATGAATATGAATAATTTATAAATTGATATAATAGATAAACAAGGATTAATTTTTTCCCTTTAATGATTACACTTGTAGGCTAGTTTATTCATTTAATCCTTTTAATTCTGTATTTAGTAGAGCAAAGAAAAATAAACCAGCATTCTCGGGGTGTTTTTCAGCATAACTGCTTGTGTGTGGTACCCCTGGGGTGACCCAGATGTTTTTCAGAGTTGAAGCTGGAGGATGTGAGGCCCCAGGCAAGGCTGGGCATGCGGTCGGGCCGGGGCTGCGGGGAGGGAACCGTAGGAATAGCTGGGCCAGTTGTGGTTCAAATCCCCCAAGGAATTCCTTTTTCAAACAAGCGGCTTGGAAACCTTGCTGCATCTCCGCTCTCAGGCTGGTGGCCTAATCCTCAGGGGTGTGGAAACGAGCTCAGGCTTTCTGAAGGAACTAGTGTGAGCTAAGTGCCCCCGCTGTCCCTTCCCTGGCATTTGTAGCCGCTCCTTTGTCCCCGCAGGTCCCGAGCGGCGCGAGGGGAGCGAGCCCCGGTGTCCTTGAGCTGAGGCCACCCCCCAGCGCGACACCCCCTGCGGAGCAGAAGGAGCGAGGCGGTTCCCGGGGCAGCCTCGCGGCACCATGGCTCTCCAGGTAGGGAATTCTGCGTCTGGCGAGACACAGGCGCAAGGGGTGGGGTGTGGGGGGGTGCCCTGTCCTCTGTGCAATGTCGTGTTGGAAACGGCAGAATTTCTGCAGCACAAGGAGTATTACTGTAAAATCAAGGTTCCTTGCAGCACGGGAAATTTGCCTAAGCCTTTGGAGGTGAAATAATGCATTACTTTTCACGAGTGGAGGCTGAGAGACATGCTGCTTATTTTGAAATATTTGTAGGTTGTGTAATTTTTTTGAACCTTAGTTGTTTAAGCGTGCACGAGTTATTTTTCTTTATGTGTGCATTGAGTTTTTTAGGACAGGATTACATCGTGGAAGGTAAGTACATGTTTATTTTTTTAGCATATGGCTAGTTATTAGAAGCTATAAAAGGAGGAGGGAAGCTTCTAATGCTGATGCGGTGGTATATGTGCATTTGGGAAGCATGAATAATTTTAAAGGAGGTTGTGCCTATTTTTTTAGGGGGTGTGTGCAAGTTTGGAGTGCTGCGTTTTGATGGGTTTGTGTTTGTGGTAGGAAAGCTTCTGCCTTCTACATTCTGGCTAGGGAGAGCTTCCTTCTACCTTCTCTCTTCATAGATTTAAATACTCCTTTAAGGGAATTATCTTCATTGCTGGCTTTTAACGTCCTACGTTTGTAGCAAACTATGAATACTTCCCTTGTATTGCCCGTGTCGTGATGGATTATTCTGTTTTTCTTCATTAGGCTGTCTGTTATCCCTTTCACTTCAATATTTGCAAGCCCTTTTATCCCAGTCTCATTATAATGGTTGGTTAGTGTGTGCCTTTTGCAGTGAGAGAGCAGAATAATATTCTGACCTAGATGCAGAGACTGTGTTGCCAGTAGCTCAGCAATTTTCTTCTAAGCTGCAATTATGTCCAGTGGAACAGAGGTTTCATTGTCTTGTTTTACAGCTAAGAGGAAGAATCCTCTTTCTCCAGTGGGTCTGAACTGCCAAATCCCCAACATAACAGCACCTTTGTTTTATTAGTGACCACTGAAATGATAGTTTGCGTTATTCTGCCTTGAATTCACTCTAGAAAATAAATGTATTAGCCTGAGGATTAAGCAGCGAGCCACAAATCACTATTAAAAGAGCTGAGTGCAGTAGGGTATGACATTCTATTGCTGTTTATAGTTATGCTTTCACATAAAAATCAGTGGCTGAAATATTGCTGTATCCTACACATTCTGCATTAGACATTATGGAGGTTTTCTATCCACTGTTGCTTTAGTTGACAGCTGCCATCCATATCCATAAAAATGTACCAAGTCAAGGTGTATGGGAATGAGGAAAAAATGAATAAAATAATGTTTCCATCAGGAAGGCTGTAAAAGATCTGTAAGTTTTGCAAACATAAAATATTCTGCTGTAAATGAAGAATTAATTCAAGATTTTTTTCTTTGCAGAAAGGGAGTATTTGATAATAGTCTAATGATTTGTGCATTTATCTTTAATGCATGTGTGTTGCTTATATTTATGTCTGTATACACACTTAAGCTTTTAATTTGAGGAGTTACAGGGGATTTTGTCAGCACATGGAAATTGTATTTTTATACGCTGCTCCTAAGCATGTTGTGTAAGCAAGAAAATCCTAAACAACAGTCTGTGCACAGTGATTCACTAGAGGGACATGAAGAAAAAAATGTGTCGTATTTAAATTTCATTTCTGCATGTTTCTTGCTATGTAAGATATGCATTTGCATATTTTAAGAACTATACCTTGTCATACCTGCCTATAGATCCAAATAGAATGGAAGTATATGAAGATAAGAAGATTATTAACTTAATGGTTTCCTTTATTGATTTATTTTTTATGAGTTATAGATTCATAGAAACATTAAGGCTGGAAAAGACCTCTAACATGATCAAGTCCAACACTACCATGACCACTAAACCATGCCCTGAAGTGCCACATCTGCACCGTTTTTGAACACCTCCAAGGATGGTGACTCCCTGGGCAGCCTGTCCCAATGCACTACACTCTT